ATAATTACTACACATTTGCACTCGCCCTTAATTCTAGTACCAGTTAACCTTTAGGTTTCTGCAGAATTAGTTTCCATGTCACTATAGGCTAAGGTCTCATACTTACTACGGGTGTACCTTTTAAGTTAAATCTAGTCCTCGGACTTGGAATTGTTACTGTTAATTCTTACTTTATATATTTACTTTATATATTTTAATATAAACGTTATATATTCCTTAAATTATATTTGAAACTTTATATATTTACATGTTCAATATTAAGTTTAATAATATCAACTTTGTTATAAGTCTATAATATAAACCGTGTTTAATATAAACTTTATATAATTACTTACTTTATATTTGAACTTTATATATTTACATGTTCTGCAGAATTTAATCTTCAATAAACTTTAACGCCCCATACTGCCAGTATCTTTCTCCCCCTGGTCAGAAAATAAAGTCGTAGCGGCACGGAAGGTCTGGCAGCAGGAGAGAATGTGACCGGAGGGAAGTGTGCGGTGGCAGGGAAAGTGTGGTGGCAGGGGAGTGTGTGACGGCAGGGAAGGTGTGACAGCAGGGAAGGTGTGGCAGCAGGGAAGGTGTGGCAGCAGGGAAGGTGCGATAGCAGGGAAGGTGTGGCAGCAGGGAAGGTGCGGCAACAGGGAAGGAGGAGTTTTTTTGCGAGTCGTTATGATTTATAGTTATAGTACATTATATATTATCCGTTTGAGAGTTTTAATATCAAAATGCGAAGTATTATATGAGACTTCCACACTTCCCTGTGGTTGGCTGACCAGACATAAAAATAACAGTAGCAGAAAATATAATTGGGTTTCCTTCCACAGCAAGGTGAACGATTATGTAACAATTATTTTCGTCATCTGTTATTACAGTATTTATTGACAGTGACAGTCACCGAGCGTAATGCAAAATCTGACAAAGACACGAGTTGGCAGTTTGGTGGTTGAAAGGCCACATAGTCGGAGCCGGTCGGCCGAGCGGACAGCACACTGGACTTGTGATCCTGTGGTCCTGGGTTCGATCCCAGGCGCCGGCGAGAAACAATGGGCAGAGTTTCTTTCACCCTATGCCCCTGTTACCTAGCAGTAAAATAGGTACCTGGGTGTTAGTCAGCTGTCACGGGCTGCTTCCTGGGGGTGGAGGCCTGGTCGAGGACCGGGCCGCGGGGACACTAAAAGCCCCGAAATCATCTCAAGATAACCTCAAGAAGATAGTCAGCAATGGCGTACCGCGTCCACGGCCCGGTACGACGCCGTATAATACTGCCTCATAAATCAACCTGGTTTTGCTACAATTCATTGTGTCGGGGGACAGACAGGCAGCTAGTTTATACATATAATATATGTTACGCTTATATCGAGCTATCCCCACCCCCCCCAAGAGTCAAATTAATGACCCTCGCCAGGATGCAGCCTCACAATTTTTTTTTTTTTAGTTTAGTTTAGAGTTCATTTATTAAGCACCCCCATACCCATATTATGGGCGGTGGTAGACAGCTCCTGGTCACCTAGTTACTGCTAGGTGGACTGGGGCGTAATTGGAAACGTGCCCAACCATTTCTGTCCCGCCCGGGATTCGAACCCGGAATTCTCGATTGAGAGTCGAGGACGACCTCGATAATAATAATTTTATTCACAAGAAGGTACAATGGGTTGGCAAGATTGCATAAGATGGACCCAGTCCATCCTCCTGTTTTGATAGCACTTATAGGAAGGATAAGGACCATAGTACATATACCGACGTACGACGCAATTAGGAAGTAGAAATCGGCACTATTGAATTTGGACAGATCGGAAAAAAATTCTACTTATGTTGCAAAGAAAAACTAAACTAACTTAACGTTCCTAGCCCCTAATACATACTATCTGAGGCCTTATATAGGACATACGTGTGCTATATAGGCCTAGGAATATTTAAGTTTTTTTAAGCTTCCTTTTTCGACTATAAATTGAATAGTACCAAATTCTACTATCTAATTGTTTAAGACTTTGATGTTTGTACTATGGTGCACATAGTTACAAAAAGTACTATCTAAACAAGAGGATGGGTTGTATTAACCGTACATGTATTAACCGTACATGTACAAACTTGTGACACGCTAGTCTAACATTGCCTCATCAGTTGCCGATACTAACTATACCTGCTGCATATAAAATATTTCTACTCACCAGCACTTAAATAGTTCATACAGGCAGTTCTTCAACTAATATTAGTCTTCCTTACTGTATACTAGGTACAAATTATACGTGAAGATTTTGAGAGGGGAGAGGCGGCCGATTCTCCCCCTCCCAGGACAGAGTCCACACTGCCAGGCTCCGTCCTGGCCGGCTGTGGCGTGGCCGCTAGTAGGTCACGAGGAGACATGATGTGACTAATCACTGCTGAATGAACTCGCCCTCTGGCGAAAAAATTAATAACAAAATTGAATAGACAGTTGACGTATGTGTTAAATAATGTGTTATGTGTTATATTATAAGCACATCAATACTGTATCTTGCTTAGCTAAATATTTTAGTTTATGAACAAATTATGTGCCTTTAACTTTTCCCAGGATGGATAGAAGTGAGCATAACATTTTAATTAAATATATGCTAACCAAGAATCAATTCTGTAAATTATTAACCAAAATATGCTTAACTAAATACGGGTGGGGTCTTGGTGAGTTCGTGGTGTGCCCTCAGTCGTGGTGTGCGGCTGGCTTCTGCTCTGCCGGAGGGCACTGGATGACTTTAGCGTTTTAGTTGGGGGGCCGAGTTTTGGTTTTGCTACCCAGTGTTCCCTGTGCCTCAGTCTTGCTCCAGACTGGAGGATAAGGAGCTGTGTGGGGCTGGACCGGTGCTTGTCACCCTGAGGGACCCATGGGGCTCCCCCAGTCATCTACCCGTTTGCGTTTCTTTGCCGTGAGGCATAACAGTTTCAAGTGATTGGTGATTGATGTCACTCGTTTCGCGATTAGGCTTGGCGCGTCACCTTTCTGGGCTTCGCGATTAACCCATCATGGGTACGCCGGGGCGCATCCACTCCCACGATCGTCGTCGCCCCTAAATCAACAACAACTCTCTGTTATTGGCCCCTCTCAGTACATCCAGCGTCCCCCGCGAGCCACATCTCTCTTCCCTGGAACTGCCGCCCAGTTGGGTGGGTGTGGAGCAAGACTAGTAACTGCGTGATTCACCATAGATGTAAAGTGCCTTGTATAGTGACTGTTGTGACCCTCTTGTTGAATCACTTGGGATGCAAAAGATTATTGATGTGTGTATTTGTGTAGGTGATTGAATATATATGTATATGTATGTATGAGTATGTGTATATGTATATATAACATTAATAATTGTGTAACTAGCATCAAAAGATTGTTATTTGCTTAGCTAAACGAACTAGAGGGGTTCAGTTCCTGAACCGATTATGTGCCTCTGTAACCCTTTACACCACCGCCCACGGGATGGGTATGGGGTGCACCACCGCCCACGGGATGGGTATGGGGTGCATAATAGAGAAAGAAATTGAATTGGCGATTGTTTATCATCTTGAGAAGGGGAAGAGCAAATATATGGTAATAGTGGGGCCGCTCGACGGTGAAGAGAATAGCGACTGTTTACGGTGTCGAGGAGAGAGGAAGAGCAAACGTTTATGGTACCCAAGGGATAAGGGGCGGAAAGGTCAGTGGAACTGGTGCAGATTTTATGGTTGCAGTGGGAAGCATGAATAATATAGCGAGTTTCATTCACTTATTATGTGCCCCATACCCATCCTGTGAGTGGTTGTGAAAATGATTACAGGAGAGCATAATAAAATAAAACTAAAATGTTTATTCAGGTAAGGTACATACATACAAGAGATTTTACATAAATTGAGTAAATTGATTTTACATAAATTGACTTACCATCAGCCAGTCAGCGATCAGGGGCCAGATTCACGAAAGCACTTACGCAAGCATTTACGAACGTGTACATCTTTCCTCAATCTTTGACCACGTTGGTTACATTTATTAAACAGTTTACAAGCATGAAAACTTCCCATTCAACTGTTGTTATTGTTATAAACAGCCTGCTTCGGAGCTTTGGAGCTCATTAACTGTTTAATAATTGGAAACAAAGCCGCCAAAGATTGAGAAAAGATGTACAGGTTCGTAAGTGTTTACGTAAGTGCTTTCGTGAACCCAGGTGTCTTCACGCCACCACGTGCAGCAGCAGTTGACGCACAGTATTTGAGGGGGGGGGGGGAAGACACAGTATGTGTCTCTCATGAGCGAGCCACTGGGAAAATTTCGCAACCGCTCCTTACAGGAAGCAGTGGCTTGAATTGTCGTAACACTTTACCATGTTTAGACACTTATGTTGCCACGTATGACATACTTGTACGTGTGGCTGACACTCTTCAGGTAAGTTGTCCATTTAGAGTAAACATCGTTTATTGTGTAAGTATACCAAATGATTTACAGTAGTGCCTGGTAGTGCACAAGGACCCAACACGTTCTATCGCCCCTTCTATTGATGACCTTACTGATTATTTAAATATTTGTAAAGCATACAAGATGAAAATATTACCACATAGGAATTGTGTGACACCTTCACACATAACTGTAAAAACATCAAGATAAATTGACTATGTCATTTCAAAACATGTGAGAGACATGTCTCTAGAGGCAGTTTATCCTCAAGGTGTGTGACCCCCCCCCCACACACTGCCCTCCTGAGGTGTAATATATAAGATAAGTAAGATAAGAAGGAGTACTCACCAGCAGCGTGGTAGTGGCCCCGGAGACATCCACCTCGATCATCTAAGACTCACCACAATATTAAACATAACAAAGTATAAAATGACTCATGTATATAATACCAAATATCAGACCTTACCCCATACCACACTCCATGGTAGGAGGTGGGCAGAACAGGAAATAAATATGTAAACAAGGACTGGTTCTGCTTAAAAACAATAATGCAATAATGTCTATTATGTGTGTGTATATATATATATATACATATATAAAAGGATAC